GGGCACGAGTAAAGGGCAAGAAAAAGCCCAAGAAAAGAAGTCTTTAACTGCGCCTACTAAAGAAGTGAAAAAGCCTAAGGCTCGGAATAGCCCAAAGGATGTAGTCTATTTCATTGCAACAAGAAAGGGCATTGGAAGTGCAATCGCAAGGAGTACCTAGAAGGGGTACAAGAAAAAAGTTATACCACCATCTCGGGTATTTATGATATTAAAGCTAATCCTTTTATTTCTAATTCCGCCTCATGAGTATATGATAGTAGATGTGGTGCTCATATTTTTGAAATGTATAAGAGCTTAGAAAAGGAAAGAAAATAGCTTCGAGGGAGATGACCTATAAGACTACAATGGATATAGAGTTGGATCATTAGATGTAGGTATTTATGAGCTAGCACTATTATGTAGGAATGTGCTTAAGACTCAATTATTATTATTAGTAGAGACTAAAGATGTTATTTTCATTTCGGTTTTGAACAAGTATTTCATTTTTAAGAATACCGATAATTTTAAAAGATGAGTTTTTATGAAAATATCTTGATAATAATTATATGTTTTGAACATAACTACCATGTATATAACATAAATACTAAAAGACTCAAATGATCTAAATAACATAAATTTGTAGCAACGTGAACTTAGCCATATAAATGAGAATCTCATATCCAATCTACTTATAAATGGATATCTAGAATCATTTGATGATGTCTAAGGAATCTTGTTTGCTTGGAAAAGATACATGAATCCCCTTTTAATGAAAAAAAGAAGAAAAAGCTACTAATAAAGCCTTACACATAACCTTTAATGATAGTAGATCATGTTTTGGTTATAAGACACAAGTCCAAAGTATTTGAAAAATTTAAAAGTTTAGACTTAAAATTCATGTGAAAAATAAGTAAAAATATTAATGCATTTCAATTTGATTAAGGTAATGAATACTTAAACTTTAAAGTTTAGATCACCTAAAAGAGAATGAGATTCTCTATGGACATCACATGTAAGACATGGTTCGATCCATGATGAGTCAAATTAATATTCTTATTTTATTTTTAGGATAAACACTCCTTACCGCAACCTTTATATTTAATTAACTATGAATTTAATCAAAAAAGTAAAAATAAAACAAAAATTAATTAACCACGCATCGCGTACGTGAAAAGAATATATATAATCGCCTCGTTGGTGGCATCGGAGAAACGCAGTGTAGCAAAGCTACCTACGATAGATGCTATCTTGAGTGCTTGGTGGGAGTTGTTCCATCCTAAACTAGCCTCTCGGTAGGGTCGCTGTGGGAGAATTTATGTCCCGACATCGACATGAGCCCGAAAAAGCACTAAAGGCATAGTAAAATGAGGAGTGCAATACAAGTACTTCCCGAAGGTAACCCATCCTAGCACTAATCTCGTCCAAGCATGTTCAACTTTAGCATTTTGATGGGATCTAGTACATTAGTATTGGTATGATCACGCCTAAGATAGGATGCGTGTAAATACGGATATAATTATCTCCGTGGGCGACACCGTAGAAGCATGATGTCTTTCTTTTCATACTTTTTCAAACTTCCCACATTAATACCATGACCGGATCCTCATGTTGCTCTTATGATATTTATTTATTGGTGATGCTCAAATTGATGATGTTGATCCTAGTAATTTGATTGTCCTATGTTTGGATCAATATTATCGTTCGAAAACCGAGTTTGATTGAGTCGGTGACTAACCGTCACTTTTTAACGAGTCATAATCCAACTATTTTAGAAAACCATACTTCATTAACTATGAATTTAATCAAAAAATTATAAATAAAATTGAAATTAATTAACCACACATTGTGCACAAGCAAAGAATATATATAACCACCTCTACTAGTGATGTTGGGAGAAGCGCGATGTCGCGAAGCTACCCACCACAAATGTTGTCCTAAGTATTGGTAGGAGCGAGTGCCATCATCCCGAGCTAGCCTCTCGATGGGGCCGATGTGAGAAAATCTACACCCCCGATCACGAACATGAGCCCAAAAAGGTCACCCATCCTAGTATTACTATCACCTAAGCACATTTAACGTTGGAGTTCTAATATCCGGTGCACTAGTGTTGGTATGATCGCACCTAAGATAATATGCATGGAAGAACGGATATAATTGCCTCTATAGGCGACATCGCGAAGTGCGGTGTCTTTCCTTTCGTATTTTCTCAAACTTTCCACACTAATTCCATGACCGGATCCTCATATTGCTCTTATGACATTTATTTATTAACGATATCCAAATAGATGATGTTAATCCTATTAATTAGATCATCTAACGTTTTGGCCAATATGACCATTTGAAAACTAGTTCGATTGAGTCAATGCCTAATTTTCAATAGTCATAATCAAGTCGTCAAATAAAATCATACTTAATTAACTATGAATTTAATAAAAAAAATAAAAATAAAATTGGAGTTAATTAACCACATGCCTCACATGTGCAAAGAATATATATAACCGCCTCTACTAGCGATGTTGAAGAAGCACGATGTTACGAGTTGCTCGCGAAAGTTGCCATCCCAAGTGCCGATGGGAGCTATGCCACCATCCTAAGCCAACCTCTCGGTGGGGCCACTCGTGGGAGAATCTATGCCACGCCCATGGACATAAGCCCAAAAAACGCTAAAGGCATAGTAAAATGAGGGGTGGAACACGAGGACATCCGATGAGGTCTACCATCCTAGTACTACTCTTATCTAAGCACATTTGACTTTAGAGTTTTGATGAGATTTGGTGCATTAGTGCTGGTATGATTGCACTCGAAACAAAATATACACAAGAATAGATATAATTGCCTCTACAGGGCGACACCGCGAAGCATGGTGCCTTTCCTTTCGTATTTTCCTAAACTTCCCACTCTAGTAAAATGGCAAGATCCCTATGTTGCTCTTGTAATATTAATTTATTGGCAAAGTCCGAATCGATGATGTTGATCCCATTAATTTGATCGTTTGATGTTTGGGCCAATATGACCATTTAAAAACTAGTTTGAATGAGTTAATGATTAACTAGCACTTTTTGACCATCATAATCAAATATCACGGAAAATCATACTTAATTAACTACAAATTTGATAAAAAAAAGTAAAAATAAAACCAAAATTAATTAACCACACATCGCGTATGTGCAAAGAATAGATAGAATTCGTCGTCGCTAGTGATGTCGAAGAAGCACAATGTAGTAGAATTGCTCATGACGATTCAATCCCGAGTACTGGTGAGAACTATGCCACCCGACCTCTTGGTGGGGCCACTATGGGAGAATCTATGCCCTCAACCATGAACATGAGCTCAAAAAAGCGCTAAAGACATAGTAAAAAAGGGGGACTAACAAGAGGACTTCCCAAGAGGTCACCTATCCTAGTATTACTCTCTCCCAAGCATATTTAACTTCGGAGTTCGATGGGATCCGAGCATTAGTATTGGTATGATCGCACCCGAGACGGGATGCGCGTAAGAACAAGCATAACCGCCTCTGCGAGCAACGCGCGGATGCGCGAGTGTCTTCCCTTTGTACTTTCCCAAACTTTCCTCACTAATACCATGACTAGATCCTCATGTTCCTCTTGTGATATTTATTTATTGGCGATGTCCGAATCGATGATGTTGATCTCGTTAATTTGATTGTCCGATGTTTGGGCCAATATTATCGTTCAAAAACTAGCTTCGCTCGGGACATCACGGAGCCGTCCACGACATATGTCATCTCGAGTGTTGGCGAGAGTTATGCCACCGTCCTAAGCTAGCCTCTCGGAGTCGTCACACGGGATGTGTGGTGTCTTCCCTTTCGTACTTTCTCAAACTTCCCTCACTAATGGTATGATCGTAACCAACGTAGGATGTGAGCAATAACGGATATAATTTCCTCTAGAAGCGACGTCGCGGATGCGTGTCTTTCATTTCATACTTTCTCAAACTTGCCTAACTAATACCATGACCGGATCCCCGCATTCCTCTTGTGATATTTATTTGGTTGCAATATTCGAATCGATGATGTTGATCCCGTTAATTTAATCATCCGATGTTTGGGCCAATATAATCATTCAAAAACTAGTTTCGCTAACATCATCACGGAGTCGTCCAAGACAAATGTCGTCCCGAGTGCTTGTGAGAGCTAAGCCATCATCCCGAGCCGGCCTCTCGCAGCCTATCACACGAGATGTGCGGTGTCTTTCTTTTCGTAATTCTCCAAACTTCCCACATAAATACCATGATAAGATCCCTCACATTCCTCTTGTGATATTTATTTTTTGGCGATTTCTAAATCGATGATGTTGATTAGGTTAATTTGATCGTCCAATGTTTGGGCCAGTATGATCATTCAAAAACAAGTTTACGCTTATGAAATTATAGATATGTCCACGATAGATGTCGTCCCAAGTCGTCGGCAAGAACTCGTGTCATCTCCTAAGCCAACCTCTCGAAGTCGTCACACGGGATATACGAGTGTCTTGCATTTTGTATTTTTCCAAACTTCCCACACTAATACCATGAATAGATCCCAACATTCCTTTTGTGATATTTATTTATTGGCTATGTTCGAATCGATGATGTTGATCCCGTTAACTTGATCGTGTCAATGACTAATGATCGCCGAAAAGCATACTTGATTAACAATAAATTTAAGAAAAAAAGTAAAAACTAAAATCGAAATTAATTAGCCACATGCCATGAGCTCGAAAAAGCGCTAAAGGCATAGCAAAAAATGAGGGGTGCAACATGAGGACTCCCTAGGAGGTTACCCATCTTAGTACTACTCTCACCTAACCATGTTTAACTTCAAAGTTGTAATGGGATCCGATGCATTAATGCTGGTATGATCGCACCTAAAACAGGATGCACTCAAGAACGGATATAACCGCCTCTGTCGGCGACGACGATAAATACGATGTATCTTTCCTTTCATACTTTTCCAAAGTTGCCTCACTAATACCATGACCGGATCCCCACGTTCCTTTTATGATATTTATTTATTAGCGAGGTTCGAATCGATGATGTTGATCTCATTAATTTGATCGTTCCATGTTTGGGCCAATATGATCGTTCAAAAACCGGTTTCGCTTGCAACGTCGCGAAGCTATTCACGACGGATGCCACCCCTAGTGCCGGCAAGAGCTATGCCACTCGTCCCGAGCCGGCCTTTCGGAGTCGTCTCATAGGATGTGCGGTGTATTCCCTTTCGTACTTTTGTAAACTTTCCACGAGTAATACCATGACCGGATCCCCATGTTCCTATTGTGTTATTTATTTATTGGCGATGTTCGAATCGTTGATGTTGATCCCGTTAATTTCATCATATCAATGACTAACCATCACCGAAAAACATACTTAATTAACTACAAATTTAATAAAAAAAGTAAAAAAAATAAAATCAAAATTAATTAGCCACACGCCATAAGCCTAAAAAAGCATTGAAGGCATAGCAAAAATAAGGGATACAAAACGAGGACTTCTCGGGAGATCATCCATCCTAGTACTACTCTCACCCCGACATGTTTAACTTCAAATTTATGATGAGATCCGGTGCATCGGTGCTAGTATAATCGCACCCGACACAGGATGTGCTCAAGAAAAGATATAACTACCTCTGCAGGCGGCGTCGCGGATGCACGATGCCTTCCCTTTCATACTTTCCTAAACTTCCCTCACTAATACCATGACCAAATCCCCACGTTCCTCTTGCGATATTTATTTATTGGCGATATCCGAATTGATAATGTTGATTCCGTTAATTTGGTCGTCCGATGTTTAGGCCAATATGACTATTCGAAAACTAGTTTTTGCCTTTGATGTCATAGAGCTATCCACGACGGATGCCATCCCGAGTGCTTGGTGAGAGCCGTGCCACCGTCCCGAGCTAACCTCTTGGAGCCGTCACACGGGATGTGTGAAGTCTTTCCTTACATACTTTCCCAAACTTCCCACACTAATACCATGACCGGATCCCTGCGTTCCTCTTTTGATATTTATTTGTTAGCGATGTTCGAATCGATAACATTGATCCGTTAATTTCATCGTGTCAATGACTAACGAATCACTAAAAAGCATACTTGATTAACTATGAATTTAATAAAAAAAATTAAAAAAATAAAATCAAAATTAATTAGCCACATGCCATGAGCCCGAAAAAGCGTTAAGGCGTAGCAAAAATAAAAGGTGCAAGCATGAGAACTTTCTAGGAGGTCAACCATCCTACTACTATTCTCACCTAAGCACATTTAACTTCGATGTTCGATGGGATTCGTGAGTTGGTGCTGGTATGATCACACCCGACACAGGATGCACTTAAGAACGGATATAACCGCCTCTACGTGCGACGTCGTAGATGCTTGGTGTCTTCCCTTTCATACTTGACCAAACTACCCTCACTAATACCATGACCGGATTGCCACGTTCCTCTTGTGATATTTATTCATTAGCGATGTTCGAATCAATAATGTTAACCCCGTTAATTTGATCATTCGATGTTTAGGCCAATATGACCGTTTGAAAACCATTTTTTACTTACAGCATCGCAAAGCTATCCATGATAGATGCCATCCCGAGTGCTCGGTGAAAGGTGTGTCACCGTCCCGAGCCGGCCTCTCGAAGATGTCATACGGAATATGCGGTGTCTTCCCTTTGGGACTTTCCCAAACTTTACATAGTAATACGATGACCGGATCCCCATATTCCTCTTCCGATATTTATTTATTGGCAATGTCTAAATCGATGATTATGATCTCGGTTAATTTGATCGTGTCAACGATTAACTATCATTGAAAGGCATACTTGATTAACTATAAATTTAATAAAAAAACAAAAGAAAAATTAATCGACCACACGCTAGGAGCTCGAAAAAGTGTCGAAGGCGTAGTAAAAATGAAGGGTACAACACGAGGACTTCCTGAAGGTCATCCATCCTAGTACTATTATCGCCCAAGCACGTTTAACTTCGGAATTATGATGGGATCCGGTGCATTAGTGCTAGTATGATCGCACCTAGCACAAAATGTGCTCAATAATCGATACAATCGCCTCGTAGGCGGTGCCATAGATGCACGATGTCCTCCTTTTCGTTCTTTCTCAAACTACCCACACTAATACCATGACCAAATCCTTACGTTCTTCTCGTGATATTTATTTATTGGCAATGTTTGAATCGATGAAGTTGATCCCATTAATTCAATCATCCGATGTTTGGGCTAATATGACCATTCGAAAGCAAGTTTCGGTTACGAGTGTCACGGAGTCGTCCATGACGATTCCGTCCCGAGTGCTAGAGAGAGCTATGCCACCGTGCCAAACTAGCCTATCGGAGATGTCACACAAGATGTATGGTGTCTTTCCTTTTATACTTTCCAAAACTTTCCACACTAATACGATAGTTAGCTCCTCACGTTCCTCTTGTGATATTTATTTATTGGCAATGTCCGAATCGATGATAGTGAACCCGTTAACTTGATTATGTTAATAACTAATCGTCACCGAAATGCATACTTGATTAACTATGAATTTAATAAAAAAAATGAAACCAAAATTAATTAGCCACATGCCATAAGCCTAAAAAAACGCTCAAGGTGAAGAAAAATGAGGGGTGTAACACGAGAACTTCGTGCCAACATCCTACTATTACCCTAACCCAAACACATTTAACTTCGGAGTTCTAATAGGATTCGATGCATTAGTGCTGGTATGATCACACACGACATAAGATACGCTCAAGAATAGATATAACCGCCACTACAGGCGACGTCGCGGATCCGTGGCGTCTTCCCTTTCATACTTTACCAAACTACCCTCACTAATACCATTACCGGATCCCTATCTTCCTCTTGTGATATTTATTCGTTAGCGATGTTCGAATCAATGATGTTGATCCCGTTAATTTCATCATGTTAATGACTAACCGTCTCTAAGAAACCAAACTCGATTACCTACGAATTTAATAAAACAGAAAAGTGAAAAAAAATCAAAATTTGGGTAAGTATGAAAGGGAAGACCTCGCACATCATGTGTGACAACTCATGTAGGCCGGCTCGGAAAGCATACTTGATTAACTATGAATTTAATAAAAAAGAAGCAAAAAATAAAATCAAAATTAATTAGCCACATGGTATGAAAGCCCGAAACGAAAAAAGCGCCGAAGGCATAGCAAAAATAAAGGGTGCAACAAGAGGACTTCCCGGGAGGTCACCCATCCTAAAACTACTCTTGTCCAAGCATGTTTAACTTCGAAGTTCGATGGGATCCAATGCATTAGTGCTGGTATGATCACACCCGACACAAGATGCGCTCGAGGACGGATATAACTTCCTTCGTAGGCGGCGTCGCAGCTGCACCGTGTCTTCCCCTTTGTACTTTTCCAAAAATCCCTCACTAATACCATGACAAGATCCCTATGTTCCTCTTGTGATCTTTATTTGATAGCGACGTCCGAATCGATAATGTTGACCTCGTTAATTTGATTGTCTCAATGACTAATTGTCACCGAGAAAGCATACTCGATTAACTACGAATTTAATAAAACAAAAAATTAAAAAAAATAAAAGTAATTAAATGAAGTAAAATTGAAATTTGGGTGAGTACGAAAGGGAAGACATCGCACATCTTATGTGACGACTTCGAGAGGCCGGCTCGAGATGGTGGCATAGCTCTCGCCAAGCACTCAAAATGGCATCTCGTTGATTTAAGTATTTAATCGAAGCAAATTTCCTATCCGAAAAGATAATTTAGAAACTTATAGTTTGCTAGTGACTCGAAAAACCATCAAATATCATTTCCAACATAAAAATCCACTCCAAAAACCAACTTTTAGATCTTTTTATGATTCGGACAAGCATACGAGGCTAAATTGCTCTTATAGCCTTTTTATTCATCCATTTCGTGTTTTTTTATACATTTTGACAATTTTTTGTTATATTGCTTTTCCACAAACCGTCACTAAAAAGCATACTTGATTAACTATGAATTTAATTAAAAAAAGTAAAAAATAAAATCAAAATTAATTAGCCACAAGCCATGGGAGCCCAAAAAAGAAAAAAACACCGAAGGCACAACAGAAAATGAGGGGTGCAACACGAGGACTTCCTATGAGGTCACCCTATCCTAGTACTACTTATGCCAAAGCACATTTAACTTTGGAATTTTGATAGGATATGGTGCATTAGTATTGGTATGATCGCACTCGACACGAGATGCGCTCGAGCACGGATATAACTTCCTTCGTAAGTGGCATCGCGAGTTGTGTGGTGTCTTCCCCTTCGTACCTTCCCAAACTTCCTTCACTAATACCATGAAGAGATCCCCACATTCCTCTTATGATCTTTATTTGTTGGCAATGTCCGAATCGATGATCTTAACCTCGTTAATTTGATCGTGTCAATGACTAATCGTCACTAAGAAAGCATACTCGATTAACTACGAATTTAATAAAACGAAATGTAAAAAAAAATAAATAAAGTAAATCAAAATTTAGGTAAGTACGAAGGCTAGCACATCACACATCCCGTATGACGACTCCGAGAGGCCGGCTCGGGATGGTGGCACAACTCTCGACAAGATACTCGAGACAACGATCTATCGATTTAAGTATTCGATGAAGCAAATTTTCCTATCTATAAAGATAATTTAGAAACTTATAGTTTGGAAGTGACTCGAAAAATCATCAAATATCATTTCCAACATAAAAATCGCTCTAAAAGCTACTTTCAAATCTTTTTATGATTCGGATATGCATACTAGGCCTAAATTGCTCTTATAGCATTTTTATTCATTCATTTCCTTATTTTTGCATACATGTTGACTATGTTCGGTTATATTTCTTTTCCACGAACCGCCACTAAAAAAAATACTTGATTAACTATGAATTTAATAAAAAAATAAAAAATAAAATCAAAATTAATTAGCCACACGTCATGAGAGCCCGAAAAAAAGCAATAAAGGCGCAACAAAAATGAGGGATGCAACACGAGGACTTACCAAGAGGTCACCCATCCTAATACTACTCTCGCCTAAGCACGTTTAACTTCGTAGTTCTAATGGGATCCGGTGCATTAGTGCTGGTATGATCGCACCGGACATAGGATACACTCAAGGACGGATATAACTTCCTTCGCAGCAATGCCGCAGCTTGTGCGGTGTCTTCCTCTTCCTACTTTCCCAAACTTCCCTCACTAATAGCATGACCGGATCCCCACATTCCTCTTGTGATATTTATTTATTAGCGATGTTTGGATCGATAATGTTGACCCCGTTAATTTGATCGTGTCAATGACTTATCATCTCCGAGAAACCATCCTCGATTAACTAGGAATTTAATAAAACGAAACGTAATAAATAAATAAATACAAGTAAAATCAAAATTTGGGTAAGTACGAAAGGGACGACATCGCACATCTTGTGTGACAACTACAAAAGGCCGGCTCAAGATGATGCCACAGCCTCTCAACAACACTCGGGACGACATCCGTCGAGTTAAGTATTTGATCGAAGCAAATTTTCCTATCCGAAAAGATAATTTAGAAACTTATAGTTTGACAATGGATCGAAAAACCATCAAATATCATTTCCAACATAAAAATCCGCTCCAAAACCCAACTTTCGGACCTTTTTATGATTCGGACATGCATACTAGGCCTAAATTGCTCTTATAACCTTTTTATTCATCTATTTCTTTGTTTTTGCATACATTTTGACTATTTTCAATTATATTCCTTTTCCACAAACTCGTTACCGAAAAGCATACTTGATTAACTAAAAATAAAATAAAAAATAATTAGCCACGAGCCATGGGAGCCCGAGAGAGAAAACAAAAACGCCGAAGCCACGATGCTTAGTATGATCGTACCCGACATAGGATGTGCTCAAGGACAAATATAACTTTCTTCGCGAGCGATGACATAGTTGCGCAATGTCTTCCCCTTCGTAGTTTCCTAACCTCCCCTTAGTAATACCATGACCAAATCCCCATGTTTCTCTTGTGATCTTTATTTATTGGCGACGTCCGAATCAATGATGTTGACCCCGTCAATTTGATCGTATCAATGACTAACCGTCACCGAGAAAGCATACTCGATTAATCGTGAATTTAAAAAAATAAAAAAGTAAAATAAATAAATAAAGTAAAATCAAAATTTAGGTAAGTATGAAAGGGAAGACATCGCACATCTCGTGTGACGACCCCAAGAGGTCGGCTTGGGACGATGGCACAACTCTCGCCAAGCACTCGAAATGGCATCTCGTCAATTTAAGTATTCAATCGAAGCAAATTTTCCTATCTAAAAAGATAATTTAGAAACTTATAGTTTGGCGATGGACTCGAAAAATCATCAAATATCATTTCCAACATAAAAATCCGCTCCCAAAGCCTACTTTCGGATCCTTTTATGATTCAGACATGCATACTAGGCCTAAATTGCTCTTTTAGCCTTTTTATTCATCCATTTCTTTGTTTTTGCATACATTTTGACTATCTTCAGTCATATTTCTTTTCCACAAGCCATCACCGGAATGCATACTTGATTAACTATGAATTTAATAGAAAAAAAGTAAAAAATAAAATCGAAATTAATTAACCACACGCCATGGGTGCCCGAGAGCAAAAGAGGGAAAAAAAGCGCCGAAGGCGCAACGAAAATGAGGGGTGCAACACGAGGACTTCCTAGGAGGTCACCTATCTTAGTACTACTATCGCCCAAGCACGTTTAACTTCGGAGTTCCGATGGGATCCGGTGCATTAGTGCGGTATGATCACACATGACACTAGATGCGCTCAAGGACGGATATACCTTCCTTCGCAGGCGGCGCCGCAGCTGTGCGTGTCTTTCCCTTCGTACTTTCCCAAACTTCCCTCACTAATACCATGACCAGCATCCCCACGTTCCTCTTGTGATCTTTATTTGTTGGCGACGCCCGGATCGATGACGTTGGCCTCGTTAATTTGATCGTGTCAATGACTAACCGTTACTAAGAAAGCATACTCGATTAACTACGAATTTAATAAAACGAAAAGTAAGATAAATAAATGAAGTAAAATCGAGATTTGAGTAAATACGAAAGGAAAGACATCGCACATCCCGTGTGACAGCCTCCGAGAGGCCGGCTCGGGACGTTGGCACGCCTCTCGCCAAGACTCGGACGACATCCGTCGATTTAAGTATTCGATCGAAGCAAATTTTCCTATCCGAAAAGATAATTTAGAAACTTATAGTTTGGCAGTTGACTTAAAAACCATCAAATATCATTTCTAACATAAAAATCCGTTCCAAAAGCCTACTTTCGGATCCTTTTATGATTCGGACATGCATACTAGGCCTAAATTGCTCTTATAGCCTTTTTTATTCATCCATTTCTTTGTTTTTGCATACATTTTGACTATCTTCAGTCATATTTCTTTTCCATAAGCCGTCACCGGAATGCATACTTGATTAACTACGAAATTTAATCAAAAAAAAGTAAAAAATAAAATCGAAATTAATTAACCACACGCCATGGGTGCCCGAGAGAAAAAGAGGAAAAAAAAGCGCCGAAGGCGCAAAGAAAATAAGCGGTGCAACACGAGGACTTCCGAGGAGGTCACCCATCTTAGTACTACTCTCGCCCAAGCACGTTTTACTTCAAAGTTCGATAGGATTCAATGCATTAGTGCTGGTATGATCGCACCCGACATCGGATGCGCTCAAGGACGGATATACCTTCCTTCGCAGGCGGCGCCGCAGCTTACGCGTGTCTTCCCCTTCGTACTTTCCCAAACTTCCCTCACTAGTACCATGACCGCATCCCCACGTTCCTCTTGTCATCTTTATTTGTTAGCGACGCCCGGATCAATGACGTTGGCCTCGTTAATTTCATCGTGTCAATGACTAACCGTTACCGAAAAAGCATACTCGATTAACTACGAATTTAATAAAATAGAAAAGTGAGATAAATAAATGAAGTAAAATCGAGATTTGGGTAAGTACGAAAGGAAAGACATCGCACATCCCGTGTAACGCCTCCGAGAGGCCGGCTCGGACGATGGCACAGCCTCTCGCCAGCACTGTGGACGACATCCGTTGATTTAAGTATTCGACCGAAGCAAATTTTCCTATCCGAAAAGATAATTTAGAAACTTATAGTTTGGCAATGACTGAAAAACCATCAAATATAATTTCCAACTTAACAATCCGCTCTAAAAGACTACTTTTGGATCCTTTTATGATTCGGACATGCAAACTAGGCCTAAATTGCTCTTATAGCCTTTTTATTCATCCATTTCTTTGTTTTTGCATACATTTTGACCATCGTCGATCATATTTCTTTTCCACAAGCCGTCATCGGAATGCATACTTGATTAACTACGAATTTCATAAAAAAAAGTAAAAAATAAAATCGAAATTAATTAACCACACGCCATGGGTGCCCGAGAGCAAAAGAGGAAAAAAAAAGCGTCGAAGGCGCAAAGAAAATGAGTGGTGCAACACGAGGACTTCCTAGGAGGTCACCCATCCTAGTACTACTCTTGCCTAAACACGTTTAACTTCGGAGTTTTGATGGGATCCGGTGCATTAGTGCTGGTATGATCGCACCCAACATTGGATGCGCTCAAGGATGGATATACCTTCCTTCGCAGGCGGTGCCGCAGCTTGCGCGGTGTCTTCCCCTTCGTACTTTCCCAAACTTCCCTCACTAATACCATGACCGGATCCCCACGTTCCTCTTGTCATCTTTATTTGTTGACGACGCCCGGATCGATGACGTTGGCCTCGTTAATTTGATCGTGTCAATGACTAACCGTTACCGAGAAAGGATACTCGATTAACTACGAATTTAATAAAACGAAAAGTAAGATAAATAAATGAAGTAAAATCGAGATTTGGGTAAGTACGAAAGGAAAGACATCGCACATCCTATGTGACGCCTCCGAGAGGTCGGCTCGGGACGGTGGCACGCCTCTCGCCAAGACTCGGGACGACATCGGTCGATTTAAGTATTCGATCGAAGCAAATTTTCCTATCCGAGAAGATAATTTAGAAACTTATAGTTTGGCAAGTGACTCGAAAAGCCATCAAATATCATTTCCAACATAAAAATCCGCTCCAAAAGCCTACTTTCGGATCCTTTTATGATTCAAACATGCATACTATGCCTAAATTGCTCTTATAGCCTTTTTATTCATCCATTTCTTTGTTTTTGCATACATTTTGACTATCTTCGACTCATATTTGTTTTTCACAAGCCGTCACCGAAATGCATACTTGATTAACTATGAATTTAATAAAAAAAAGTAAAAAATAAAATCAAAATTAATTAACCACACGCCATGGGTGCCCGCAGCAAAAGAGAAAAAAAAAAAACGCCGAAGGTGCAACAAAAATGAGGGGTGCAACACGAGGACTTCCCGAAGGTCACCCATCCTAGTACTACTCTCGCCCAAGCATGTTTAACTTCGGAGTTCCGATGGGATCCGATGCATTAGTGCCGGTATGATCGCTCCCGACACCGGATGCGCTCAAGGACGGATATACCTTCCTTCGCAGCGGCGTCGTCAGTTGCGCGGTGTCTTCCCCTTCGTACTTTCCCAAACTTCCCTCACTAATACCATGACCGCATCCCCACGTTCCTCTTGTGATCTTTATTTGTTGGCGACGCCCGGATCGATGACGTTGGCCTCGTTAATTTGATCGTGTCAATGACTAACCGTTACCGAGAAAGCATACTCGATTAACTATGAATTTAATAAAACAAAAAAGTAAGATAAATAAATGAAGTAAAATCGAGATTTGGGTAAGTACGAAAGGAAAGACATCACATATCCCGTGTGACAGCCTTCGAGAGGTCGGCTCGGGACGGTGGCACCGCTCTCACCAAGACTCCGGACGACATCCGTCGATTTAAGTATTTGATCGAAACAATTTTTCCTATCCGAAAAGATAATTTAGAAACTTATAGTTTGGCAAATGGATCGAAAAACCATCAAATATCATTTCCAACATAAAAATCCGCTCCGAAAGCCTACTTTCGGATCCTTTTATGATTCGGACATGCATACTAGGCCTAAATTGCTCTTATAGCCTTTTTATTCATCCATTTCTTTGTTTTTGCATACATTTTGACTATGTTCAGCTTATATTTCTTTTCCACAAGCCGCCACTAAAAAAAATACTTGATTAACTATGAATTTAATAAAAAAAAGTAAAAAATAAAATCGAAATTAATTAACCACACGCCATGGGTGCCCCGAGAGCAAAAGAGGAAAAAAAAAGCGCCGAAGGTGCAACAAAAATGAGGCGTGCAACAAGAGGACTTCCCGAGAGGTCACCCACCCTAGTACTACTCTCTCCCAAGCATGTTTAACTTCGGAGTTCCGATGGGATCCGTGCATTAGTGCCGCTATGATCGCACCCGACACCGGATGCGCTCAAGGACCGGATATACCTTCCTTCGCAGGCGGCGCCGCAGTTGCGCGGTGTCTTCCCCTTCATACTTTTCCAAACTTCCCTCACTAATACCATGACCGGATCCCTACGTTCCTCTTGTGATCTTTATTTATTGACGACGCCCGGATCGATGACGTTGGCCCCGTTAATTTGATCGTGTTAATGACTAACCGTTACCGAGAAAGCATACTTGATTAACTACGAATTTAATAAAACAAAAAAGTAAGATAAATAAATGAAGTAAAATCGAGATTTGGGTAAGTACGAAAGGAAAGACATCGTACTCCCGTGTGACAGCTCTAAGAGGCTAGCTCGGGACGGTGGCATAACTCTCGCCAAGACCCGGACGACATTGGTCGATTTAGGTATTCGATCGAAGCAAATTTTCCTATCCGAAAAGATAATTTAGAAACTTATAGTTTGGCAGATGATCGAAAAACAATCAAATATCATTTCCAACATAAAAATCCGCTCTAAAAGCCTACTTTTGGATCCTTTTATGATTCAAACATGCATACTATGCCTAAAGTGCTCTTATAGCCGTTTTATTCATCCATTTCTTTGTTTTTGCATACATTTTGACTATTTTCAGTCATATTTCTTTTCCACAAGCCGTCACCGGAATGTATACTTGATTAACTACGAATTTAATAAAAAAAAGTAAAAAATAAAATCAAAATTAATTAACCACATGCCATGGGTGCCCCGGAGCAAAAGAGGAAAAAAAAAGCGCCGAAGGCGCAACAAAATGAGGGGTGCAACACGAGAACTTCCCGCGAGGTCACCCATCCTAGTACTACTCTCGCCCAAGCACGTTTAA